CTCGTTGACCCTCAGCAGTCTTTGCAGGAGTTATTTGTGGCCGAGATCAGTTGCAGTAAACGATTCCTGGGCTTTGGCATTAAAAATCAGTATTTAGTCAATTTATATAGTTAGAACTCATTTTCTAGGTGAAGCTGTTCTTGTTTCACCTGGAGTTCGCGGTGTGAAGAAGTCGCGACAGGGCTCGGGGCGGTCCTTGCGCTTTTGGCAGGAGTCTGTCCGTGCACAGTTGGCTTCCTTAAAGTATGAGAGCAAAGCCAACCAGAAAGCAGCCGTCAAAAGGCTACTTGTCAAATGGCATCCTGATCGAAATCTTGAGCCTTGGCCCACTAGGACCCTAGGACCACTGACGCAAGGTTGCTCGAAAAGGGCACTCAACGAACTAGATGCCGTTAAGTGGTTGCATCATGAAGACTTCTTCTGAGGAACGCGCTGAAACGGCCACTTCGATTTTTCAGTTCATCCAGCAGGAGCTTTGCAATAGTCCTCCTGAACAAAAAAAATAAGATTTTGAATGGCACCGCAGGAGAAGGACAAGATGTTCGGACCGCTTTGAGCCAGGCTTGTAGCTCTAAATTTGGTCAGCCGCCCATGGCTGGATGTCAGGCGGTTATGTGCCTTCATGGCCCCATCGCATTAGTGACAGGGATGCCTCATAGTTTCACACTTCCCGAGTTTTATTTAATTCACTCACTGCAGAGGCCCCTTCTGGCACCCTGCGGGAGCCCTAAGCAAGATACAGATGGACAAAGCACACAAAGTGTGCTTCGAGCCAATCTGCTTGCCATCAAAACAGGAGTCAAGCCACACTGTGTTGACTGTGTGTCTCTTTGACAAGTTTGCGATCAGCAATGGGCATCCATCGCCCTCGCAACATGTCAATATGCACGAGCAGCAAGAGTGATCTTTGCTCTCTGCATTTGGTTCCCGGAAGTATTTGAAGGGGATGAACGCACCCAATATCTTCGACAGGGAAGCTTGCAAAGCCCTCCTCTTTGGGAGAGGTATCAAAAAATTAATAGGCATCAATAAAAAATTTGATAGGCATCAAGAAAAAACAAAAAACATCAAAAAAAATTGTTTGGTAACCGGTCCTCTAGTCCTTTCATCCTCTCTCTGGACCCTTGGTCCTCTGGTCCCTTGGTCCGTTGGTCCTTTGGTCCTCTGGTCCCCTGGTCCCTTGGTCCTCCAGTCCTTTGCCCGCTGGTCCTTTGGTCCTCTGGTCCCTTGGTCCCCTGGTCCCTTGGTCCTCTGGTCCTTTGGTCCTCTGGTCCTCTGATCCTCTAGTCCTGTGGTCCTCTGGTCCCCTGGTCCCTGGGTCCTCTGGTCCTTTGGTTCTCCTGCTGCATCCCTTTATCCTTCTGCTGCCGCCGCTGCTTTTGAAACATGCTGTCCATACTTGTTTGCGTTACGGGGGAGGCGCTGCGCCCTCCCCCGAACCCCTTCCCGCTTCCTTAATCCTCCAAGAAAGCTCCAAGTCAAGCCCAAAGAAACGTTAAAGAAGCGAAGGCCCAAGCGAAGCTTAAAGTCCAAAGAAACCCTAAAGAACCGATGCCCTAAGCCAAGCCTAAAGAAACCCTAAAGAAACGAAGCTCTAAGCCAAGCCCAAAGAACCCCCAAAGAAACGAAGTTCAAAGCCAAGCCCAAAAGAAACCCTAAAGAAGTGAAGCCTCAAGCCAAGCACAAAGAAACCCTAAAGAAACGAAGCCCTCAACCAGGCCCAAAATAGAACCCTAAAGAAGAAAACCCAAAAGCGAAGCCGTGAGCAAAGCCTAAAGAAACCTTAAACCCCTGATCCCTTGGTCCCTTTGACCTCTTGCTCCCTCTGTTGCTTCCTGAATGTCCTAGTCCCTTGAGCTTTACTGGTTTGCTGGTCCTAGTCTCTCGGTCCCCTGGTCCCTTCGTCTCTTTCGTCGTTCCATATCCTGTGACCGCTCCAGATTGATATTGAATTATGTTTGGAAGGTACAATTTTTGACTTCTACTTCTACTTCTACTTCGACTTCTACCCGTACTTCTACTTCTACTTCTACCACCACCACCACCACCACCACTACTACTACTACTACTACTACTCCTCCTACTACTACGACTACTACTACTACTACTACTACTACTGCTACTACTACTACTACTACGACGACTGCTACTACTACTACTACGACTACGACTACGACTAGGACTACTACTACTACTACTACCACCACTACTACTGTTTTTTGATCTCAATTATTTTTAAAATGATCTCCTCAAACAATTCTTTTTTTTGATCCCTATCAATTTCTCTTTTGATCCTTCACCCTCCTCTTTGTTGTTACAGCGACGCCCGCTAGGACCACACTCTTCTAACTTATCAGAGTCCAACTAATTGCTCACATCATGCAGGAAAGTTTGAAGGATTATGCGGCAGACACATGGTGGACGCTCAAACATTGAAAGCATCAGGGGTCGAGCAACATTGGCAGACACCCGCGCCCGCCAATGCACTAGCTCCAACGGTGCCACGAGGGTGCCACCTTCACGGCCTTTTCATGCGGGCAGGTACGTTGGTGTTTGTCAACATGGGCTGTTGAGTTGCAAGGCTGGGGACCTGTGTGTACCTGTGTGCAGGCGCTCCTGATCCCTTTGCCTTGCAAGAGAGCATTTTGAAGGAGGAGAATGTCCAAACTCGAAATCAGAAGAGTTCTAGTTACTTCGCTTTGCAGCGGCGTACGTATTGCCGAGCAGCTTATATGGCGTGTTGTGCTTAGTTTGGGACCTTTGGGGGGCTTAGGGGCCTTGCTTCCGGAAATGTGAATGGATTCCGCGGTCGAAATGGCCAGTCCAGAATCGGCAGGAGAGATGCCTGGAAGAGCATCTGGCGAAGCTGAGGGCCGGTGAGGAGCATGTTTTCTTCCGCTGTTGGCGATGCTGTTCCTTCCGGGGCGAAGTTGAAGACGAGACGCTGTTCAGGACCTCCGAAGGACCGCTCGACTGAACCCGAAGGACGCCCCGGTCTGCGTAGGTCGTGTGGGATGAGAATCGGTTTGCGTTGAGTTGCTTCTTCGGCCGTGGAGGCGCATGGCTTAAGCCCTGTCCCAGGAGTTCAAATACTTGAAGCGCGCACAGACCGCCCCATCCTTTCGCAGCACGCCGGAACACCTAATCTTCAAACTATTTTTTCGTTGTTGCGGATCGAGAATTTTTCTGCAGCTGCAAACGAGTAGCTTTGCCAGATAAGCTCTTGAAATCCTTTAGATCCTGAGTCCTGACTTACTGTAGAGTTTTCACCATCACTTGAGGCTCACGCTCAAAGAACGGACGTTGCTCTCAGACTTCCACAGTCGGCCTCGAAAGGTGAGTCGGCGCTTCGGGGGCACAGCTCGTTCCACACATGGGTAAGGCATTGCTGATACACATGGCTCGCATATCTATCTATATGAATTAATCTGGCATTGTGGCGGTGTGATTGCACGAACGGTTCCCTGTCTTTTGCCTTTGTGTGCGAGTATGAGGGTGTAGAATTTTGATGAATTTGGTCGAGAAATCTTGTCACGAAAGCTAGCAGCAGCTAGCTGGAGTTGTCCTTGCTTTAGCAAGTGAGGGGCTGGAATCCTTGAGATCGCCGCATCACGTGAAAACTTCATATGTAGAGGGGGCCTCGGGCAGGTGCCCCCCCCCCCCCCGCGGGTTCAACTCGCCCTGGGACGCCTCTGGGACACCTCTTGGACACCTCTTATGGCATCCACCACTTTGGTTCAACTCCTCCGTGGAGGTTTTGGGATACGATGCAACAGATTCAAAAGATTCACAAGCTAAGGTTAGCTGTGTCATTGCTGTTCGTGTGTCTTACATGTTCACAACGTTTTACCTCATGAGCGAGACCTTGTGAACCATACCTCCAACAGCCCCATGCCTATGAAAAAAGATTTGCCTCACTCCGCTTGATGTCCCACCAATCCTTTGTCACTGGACGGCGCTGTATGCTTCGCCTCCACTGACACGGATGCATCCCTGCTAGCTTTCGTCACCTACTCGGTTCAGTCACGAGACAGGCGCAATATGAACTGGAGACACCCTATGCCATGGGCTCAGAGCTGATATTGCCAAAGATTTCTTTTTGAAAGAAAGTGAGTTTGGACAAGGGTTCAAGAGGAATCCTTCCAATTCAATGTTATTTCAATCCAGCTGAGTGTTTCTCAGTCTAGGCCCAGGCCATCGTTTTGGGCAACCAGAGTGGTGCTTTTCCGTCCTGGTCGCGAGACAAACAGTCCTAACTATGTCACACCCTATGCCGTGGGCCCTACAGTTGAGGTAAACAAGGGAGGATATTTAGGTCACCATATGGAACGCATGCCAGCAAGACGTGTATCATGGTGTTCCAAAAGAATTAAAACCTTGTGAGCCAGTATTCCTGCTTACTTCAACTCCGACCTTCTATGGATATATAGATATTTTTCACTCCCACATCCCAATTTAACAAATTCAGATGGACCGCCGGAACCGCAGCGGAACCGGAGCGGAACCGGAGCGGAACCGGAATCTGTGGGCCCAGTCAGCGATCTTCCGTGGCTTCGGCGAGTCGGAGTACCGTACCTCGCTGGGCGCCTGACAGATGAGACAAGTGGAAGAACTGGACAGAATTTGAGAATGCATTGGCATAGGGCTCATCCAATGTCAGCATTTTTGGCTCAAAGAATTGCATATCACTGCAACTTATCAATGGAGCCAGCTTAGTGCGACTGAGACTCAGACATGCACCTCCCCAAACCCTAGCACGCAACTGACAGACCACCTTTGGCAGTTTCCATGTTGGTTTAGCAGACGTATCTACCTATCGAAGCGAAATCACCTACCATGATGGTATGGAACATCAACCACATGCTCAAGCCTTCAACTTACAATTTGCAGGATTCAAAGATTCTTCGTGTCTTCTCTGCCTAGGCCGATGGCTGGAATGTCATAAGCGTCACAAAGGGTTTGACCGCCATTTTGCCTCATGATCAGTCCAGCGCCCGCAGATGATCAGTCCAGCGCGGCCGTTTGCCACGCTGCGTGGCCAACGTTAGAGAGTTAGAGAGGAGCGCCGTGGCATTCCAGTTTGCGTGGCCAACGTTTATCTCAGGCTTCGACATGTTCAAAAAGATGCGGTGCAGCCGACGCTTTTTCACTACAACAGCGTTTCTTGCCTTCAAATTCATCATCGGTCGCTGGCAATTTTGGGATTTTTTTCCTACCTGCGATCGTTGCAAGGCGCTCTCCAGCTGCAAGGAGAGCAGCGACTGGGGAGCTGCGCTCTCGCTCCTGACCACGTGACCTGTCTAGCTGCGAAAGCGTGATGATGTGAATTTGTGTGAACTGAGTCAATGTGACAACGTTCAGTCGGCGATGCTTTGGCTAGCTTGAGGCTTGGTGCTGTGGGCCTTGGACCCAGCGGCTTGGAGAGTGAATTCTGTTCAAGTTTGTCGACGTTTTTGATGTTTGCATTGTCCAGGCAGTGCTTCCTTTACGGCTGCTATTCGAGCAGTAGCACAGACCCGTCGACTATGGGAAGTTGGCCTCACCTTGCTTTGCGACCTGCATGTTGCTGAGCTGAATCTGGGCAAAGGCTGCGTTGGAGCAGCAAGTCTTCGTCTAAGTTCTCTGACAGTGTTGCAATTGAAAACCCAATTCTAAATCAGAATAACTTCAACTGTCACTCCAAAGGCCGATTTGTTTCAGTTTATTGAGGTTTGGATGCTTCAGAGCAATCAGATCACGAACAGCGCAGCCTTGACTGCGGCTGGAAGATCAACTGCCTGGCAAGCTGCAGTTGGGATCTTTAGCAGGTGCCGCTGCTGCGTCTCCAGTCTGGGGAAAGCTTGTCAATCTTGCAGATCTTCAGATAAGATGGCACAACCTCCTTGAAGTGCAATGACGCCCCTCCTCCAATCACATCAAGGGATGCAGCTTATATATATATATAACTTATATTTGTCCTTTCGATCATGTGCAAGCACAATATGGTATCAATAACAGGACTGTTACGGTCCCAAGCTCATCCAGCATTAAGCAGTCAGGATTCATTGGGCGAAACTGTCCACGGGCAAAGGAAGCATGTGACGATTGGAAGCTGCTTTGAGTTTTTTGTGCTTCGCACTTTTTTGATCTTTTGCATTTCTTTTATGACCAACGAAGGTGTCTTCGTGCCTATATAGCCCAAGAGCCATCATCATGCCCTTTTCGGATTTATTAGGTTTGTTTAGGCCCAACTGTTGGATCTTCCCTTAGGGTTGTAGAATTGCGTGCCTGTGGTTATGCCTTGCGGACCTCCAGCAGTGTGCTTGCGCATCCTCGCCATCTATTGCTGTTTCTGGAGCGTGGCACCCTCCACTTGTTTGACAAATTGACACCTGTGCCAGCCAGGGCCTGGGTGTTGTAAAAGCATGTGTGCTTCATAGGACTCAATTCCATAGCTTTAGCTTCTTTGCACTCTCTGTTTCTATCAATTCTATCACCTTGATCCTTTTTCAATCTTAGTCACGATTGCGCGTGCGACAGTGGACCCTGGGTCTAGTGAACCGTCGCAGAGCTGCATGAGGTTTCTGCTGCTTGGACACTCAGCTACACGCCCGCAAGGTCATTGCCCCATTCTTCTCGCTGCAGCTTCTGAGCCCCAGCTTCCAGGAGTCAGTGGACAGCTTCCACGTGCTTACTTCATCTTACTTCCACATCCAAAAACCGCATGCTGAATTCTCACCAGCTCGAGCCAGCAACACAGTGGAAAGAAACGGCTGCAAACTGCAAGCCTTCGAGCAACAAGCGTGCAACTTCCAACTGGTAATCCATTGCTGCGGTCAATGCCGTTGTCCTCGGTCTCACTACTGCTTGCGAAACAGCGTTTTGGGTAATTACTGTGACTTGAATAGCCAGTCCGGTTTGCAAGGAACTGCTTTCCCCCTTTCCAAATATGAATCGAGGGTTTAGCGATTGCAGCTGGAGCTGACATATGCAGCCTTTTTCAGGCTTTGAATGGAAACCGCAACCTCCATGGCATAAACAAAGACCATGCTTGCAAAGCGACACGTTTGTATAGCGTCCAGGATGCAGCTGCAAGAGCTCTGCCAGGCGCATCAGGGGTTGTTGTGGGCCGACCGAAGGGCAGCTTAAAGCCACAGGGCCACCGCCCCTGGCAATCACCATTCATCGGTCTCGAGTCCCCGAGTCCCGTCGGGCCCATCGGCCCACCGTCGGCACGCGCCGCTTTGAGGATGTCGTCTCTCACACCGCGGCCCTTGCGGCGTGCGAGCCTTCAGGCCGCTGGCAGCTGATGCTGGAGACAACCGGAAGCGTAGACCGACCGGGCCATCCGTTAGCAATACATAGCACTTAAACAGGTTTGAAAAGGAGCCCATCTAGACTCAAGTCACGGACATACCAGTTTTGCATCATGTATGCATACACTTGCCGCCTGTCACTCCGTCTTTCAGCCGCGGCTTGCTGTTGCAGATTGCCCTGCCTGCACTTCTAGGAGTTATTTGCAAAAATGCCAGTTGTGGATGTTGTGGCCTGCGGGGCGGCTGTGAGTGCCTGCGCCAAGGCAGGTGGTCAGAAAAGATGCTATTGTTGCTAGAATATTATGTTGCTAGAATATTATGTTCCATGCCGTTTGAGCTCTGTTTCAAGGCTGCTTCCTGGCAAGAGGCGCTCTTGCTCCTTGTGAGCATGTGACTTGGACGGGTGCGAGCAACAGCTTCTTAGAATATTGCTTCCCTTTGTGCGATTGTGACTCTGGTGATGTTGTTGGAAGCTTTGTTTGCTGACAAGGCCAAAGCAGCGGTTGTGGCCAAACACAATTTGTTTCAATGCTACCATCTCTGCCTGCGAGCGGAGTGGGCATTGGGAGCTGGCGCTTTTTCTGCTGAATGAGATGGACCTCCAGGCATTCCCGAACAATCCCTCTGCAGGATCCTTCCTGACAAGGATGCCAAACTTTGATACTGTAGTTTTTTGATCTTGTGTTGCGGACTCTCTTGCTTGACGGAGTTGCTTAGAAGTTGTTTCTTTGGCCTAGACTGGTCATGCAGGCCTTGCAGCCCGATGCGGTCAGTGTGTCTGCTGCCATCAGTGCGTGTGGACGTGGGCTTGAGTGGCAGGTGGGAGGATCCCAGCTACCGCCACGAACGTGGCTGTGATGCATTCCACGCACTGAGGCTGCGATGTGGCTGTTAGCAACCTTGCCGTCAATGCACCTGCAACGGCTTCTTGTATGAATGAGCTTTTGTTGGGGTGGCGGGGTGGAGTTGAAAGTATGTAGAATATAAAAGGGTCCCGCACGCCACACGCAACACACACACACACACACTTATATAGACTGTTGCTTGCAAGAGCTAGTATCAGTACGAAGTCCCCCTTGACTTGACGAAACGGAAAGAAGCGCAAACCGCAAGGTGAAAAGTCCGTTCATTTGAAGGTGTTGTAACAAGTTGTCTTCAGCTCAGTAGACCTTTACTGCACAACACCGTAGGAGACAGCTTGTTCAACAGTTCCACAAAAGTTAAAATTGCAGGTACGTCCAGCTGGCCAAGCTGGATATCCCATTTCACTGGTAGCTTCGTTGGACACAGTCCCAGTGAAATGCTGTGTCCCCCTGCCTCTTTTTTCCGCGCTGAGAAATTATGTTAGTAGCGATGCCAGGAGCCCTTAGTAGCAAAACCAGGGGCCCTAGTAGCGTTCTTTGTGATTCAGTGGGGCCCTGTGGCGAAAACACACTTAGATTGTTGCCCGCAAGAGCTAGTGTCAGTACGAAGTCCCCCTTGACTTGACGAAGCGGAAAGAAGCGCAAGCCGCAAGGTGAAAAGTCCGTTCATTTGAAGGTGTTGTAACAAGTTGTCTTCAGCTCAGTAGACCTTTACTGCACAACACCGTAGGAGACAGCTTGTTCAACAGTTCCACAAAAAGGGTAAAATTGCAGGTATGTCCAGCTGGCCAAGCTGGATATCCCATTTCACTGGTAGCTTCGTTGGACACAGTCCCAGTGAAATGCTGTGTCCCCCTACCTCTTTTTCCGCGCTGAGAAACTATGTTAGTAGCGATGCCAGGAGCCCTTAGTAGCAAAGCCAGGGGCCCTAGTAGCGTTCTTTGTGATTCAAAAACTTAGGCAGAGGTGTGGACACACATACACATACACACATTCGCTGAAGTGTGGGGCCTTTAAAAGTCAGGTGCTTCCAAGGTGGTCAGCGGGTCCAACAAGGATTTCTAGTGTCTAGAGCATTTGGACAGACAGACCCAACTAAAAACCCAGACTCTAGTGAGGACAACGATCAGCTTCAACGCCACCATGAGTGCCTGCGAGAAGGCGAAACATTGGCAACATGTCACACAGCTGACGGACGACTTCGTCAGCCATGGTCACTTGGCGTGGTCGCGACAGCATGTGTAGATCGAGATGTTAAGTCACTCCAGACTTGGAACTCTCTCTCTCTCTCTCACTCACGGTAGTCCAAAGGGACCCTGGTGTCCAATCTGGTTTCCCTGGGCTCGGCATTGTGGAGGCCGCACATTTCATTTCACATTTTTTGGACTTTGTGGTGAAATTGGCATTCTCAGAACTTCCTGGGCTTTCAATTGAGGTGTGGACTTACTAGTGCCACCGTTGTTTGTTGGTTTGGACACTCACATCCACTTCTGAGGTTTCCTGCCAGATACTGTGACCCGTGGAGTGATTGGACTGGCTTGTGACCATGCAGCGGCTTGGCAAACACATGGTTTTGACCACTGCTGGCATGGCTGCGAATGACATTGACATGGATGTGGCATCAGTGGGTTTTGATCCTCCAAGGAGCAGTGGCAAAGATCCCTGCTGCTGAGCCCCAGCAGCTCGACTTTTGAGGGGATTCTGTGTTGGAGGCTGCTCCTCCACGGGTGGCTTTTGCAGTCCTTCATGTGTAAGTTAGGCACCAGTGCCTTTGGCTCCTGCCCAGCTCAGGCAAAGGACCGGTGTCCAAAGATGGGCTTCAAACTTTGGCCCGAAGGCAAGTGGAAGACACTCGATTTCTCTTGATAGTGGAAAACTATGGAACACTTATTCTCCGGCAGGCTAAGTTGGTCCGAAGACGAGCGGGCAGAGGTGCGTGCTTGGCTGCAACCGGAGCAACTAAAAGAGGTCTCTCCAGACGAATTGGTGCTATTGGTGGCGTGGCCTGAACCGTTCATTGCATTGATCAACTTGTAATGGAGCAGAGCGGCCAAGTGGCTCACCTCAGGGGGAGAGGCTCTCAACCCCACCAAAAAGTAAGCTAAGGTCGGACATAAAGTGGGCTGGCCATTGGCCACGGCCATCATTCAAAGTGAGGGGTTTCCAAGATACGAGCACACCAAGATGGAATGGATGGGTGGCAATAGGCCCCGTCTCACAAACCTTTAGACACGTCTCCCAAGTAGCTGTAGATAGCAGCTGGGCTGAGGTGTGGTGTGCTGCTTCACTCGGATGGTCGGAGGAGAACATTATCCACAGAACGCGGCCACTTGGCCAACGGGTTTTGTGCCGCATACCGTGACGACTGTTGGCCGTGCGCCTTCAATTCCTTCGCCAGCTCCAATACTTACGAATATGTTTTGGACTCGGGTTGCTGTGAGGATGGCGCAAGGATGGTTCTTCCTCACGAGCTCTTCCGTTTTTTTTGGGTTCGCGTGATCCGCACCACGTTGTTGGTGTATTACTTGCAATTGCTCAGGAAAAAGCTGCTCCAGTGCCTGCAGTCCAGACTTCTGTCGTGGCGTGAAACTTCGCGTTTGGCTTGGTCTTTGGCCAACCTGGAGGCCTTGAGCGCCTTTGAAGCCAGCTCTGCTAGAAGTAAACCGCTGACAGACCTGTCTCCTTTGAAAAGATGTGGACTGACAGACCTGTCTCAATGCGCCTTACGATCAGCGTGACGTGCACCTACCTCGTGAGAAGGTGAACGATGCCGTTTTGTTGGATACCTTGCAGGAGGACGGGATTTACCTGACACATCAAACACTGCAAAGCATAAAGCGCTTTGAAACGGCTCGAATTTGTTCGTAGCCTAGACCCACTGCAAGAGCTCACTCATGGAGATGCATGGCGTTCATAAATGCAACCTAGAGATCTCTCCCTTTCTTATTTGTCCTCTCTCGCTCTCTTCATTCTCGCTTTCCCCCTCTCTCCCTCTGGTATTCAGACTGAAGATGTTGGCAGCATTCACTGTTATCATCTTTTTTTCTCTATGTCTATGGTCATGTTTTTTCCCCTCACCCAACCCCTTGCAATCTTGTTCACCTACGCTCATGTATCCTCGTGCACCGCAGCCGTGTGGCTGACAGTGGCGCGCAGGCTGTGCACCCGCCCCACAGACGATGGGGACGGCAGTGTCCGTGTGTCGCAATGTCTTAGATGTGGCTTTAAAGGAGGAAGGGGAGCTTTCTGCTGCCTTAGCGGCGCAGTATGGCCCACAGTTGTTGTTGCGAGTGGATGCGGCTCCCATCCGAGAAGGGCCAGCAGTGTACCCAAATCCTTTCCGCCTTACAGATGAAATTATACTGGAGGGGGTGGAGGGTCTTGCAGCCTACGGCCCTTTTATGGCTCGCTTCAATCTTGCACGCCGTGCAGAATCTGGCCAGAAGATTGCTTTTCCTTGGCCAAATACTGACCGAGCAAGCATGCCACATGTATTTATGAGAGCGAAGATCGAGGGCACTGGCCGGTATGTTTTGCTTCAAATTTGTGCTTCGGTGAGTGACCAGAAGTTGCATCGAGTTTTGGCAGCACTGCAGGACTGCAAGGAGGCAGTCCAGTAGCTCCGATGATTTTGAACACTTTTGTTCCAAGGCCTTGGCATTTTTTCAGTCTTGAGCATCGCTTGGGACTTCTTTTTGTGGTTATGGTGTGTAACAATTTGCACTACTTGAAAATTCTTTCAGGTATGCAGCTAACTTCAACAAGTTCCTGAGTGAAACTGCCCACGATCATGGTGGCTTTGATACGCCCTGCGTGAAGATTTGTGCTCCGGTTGGCTGCCGTGTGCTTGACAGAAGCTTTGCAAGCAAGCCTTTTCCTTCGTATTGGTGAGTTGCATTCCTTAAAGGAATTTGTAAAACATGTAAAGCGTCCCAATAATAAAGGACGCATCACGTTATGAGTTTGCGGATCTGGCTGGCTCAGGTAAGATACCACAACTAACCAATCGAGACAGCCACATTCTGGTGTTTGACTATCCGGCCACGGAAGTGACGAAGTTCATGCTTGATGGCACGGAGGAGTTTCATGAGCTGTCTCAGGCTTTCTTCCATCACGTGGCATATTCAACGAGCGGAAATGCAATGCTTTTTGATCTGAAGGCGGGCAGATTTTAGGCACTTTGGGCCTTCCCACAGCCACCTAAATGATTGTTTTGTTTGGCAGGGGGCACCTACATTTGTAGACTGTGTGGATCATTGTAGATCGATGTAGAGATGATATGCGGAGCGTATGTGCAAAATGTGCGAAGTATCGAATCCTTTCCTGAGTCTTTGGCCATTACAGGGGGCAGACCCTGGAAGTGGAGACATTCTCCTGGTGGATCCCTGCATCCTGCGTGGTGAGGGCGAGCAAGCCGTCAAGGACCATGTGAAGGAAACCGCTTTCGAGGTGCTGCACAGGCTGGGTGTTGGGCAATCTCACTGACAAGACTTAGGTCACAGTCAGAGTGGAGGCTGTACCCTCACCGGAGGGGTTGAGCACAAAAAGGCTATATAGAGAGTATGTAGATGAATCTATGGAGTCCCTGACACCCGAATCTTCAGTTCCCGACGATCCAGCCCTGGATTTGAAAGGATCTGAGGGCTGTTCCAGCTGTGCCAGGAACTGTGGGCAGCTGTGCAGGGCCTTCGATCCGCACAGGCGAAGTGCAAAGGTTCGCAGGGTCTGTGGGGTGCCCTCCTGTGGTCTTCAGGCTCGGTGACGCTGGACCAGCCGAAAAAAGAGACTAAGACTAAGATGGTGCTGTTGAGGATAAGAAATGCCTCTCCTGCACTGCTAATGGTGTGTGATCACATCCAAGCCTGCTGTGGACGGTGAGCCAATGTTCAAGCTGTTTCACGGCTGAAGAAGCAGCCTGCACCAATTAGCCGCATGACTCCGACTCTGTGGGAGCAGTCAACCCGTGATTTACTGGCATTTGGCAGCCAAAAGTGGAAAAAATAAGCAACATGTTTGAGGAGAATTAAACTTAATTAAATTCTAATTCTAACTAGTAGCTTCTTGTTACTACTAGTAAGGCACTTGTTACTAGATGCGATGCACTTGTTCCTAGTAGCTTATTGTTCTAACATCAGTCGTTCTGATGGCACGGCCGCCACCGGTGTTGCCTTCGGGCCAGGTCTTCCCATGCCTTCCGAGAGCGCTTCGCCGCCAGGACTTAATCCAACAGATGGACCGCTTCGAGTCCGCACAGTCGTGGTGCCAAGAGCGTTCGTGTTGAGGCAAAGGCCAAGTCTTGGTATCCGATTCTGGTTTGGGAGGCAGATGAAGACAGTGTGATAGAATTGAAAGGCATTTGGCAAGTCATTCTGATTCACTGAAATCACTTGCATGAGGCGGTTGTTCTATTGCTCAAGCTTCTGTGCTTTTTGGTGACTTGTGTGCCTCAAATTTCGAGGCCCATTTTCTTTGCCATGGCCTTTTTGAGAACCGGCTTGCAGAGGAACAGCCAGGTGCCTGGTGGCTCGCGGATGATCCAGCTCAAAGAAGGTTTGGACTCCGCTGTGGCTCGAATCCTGGAGGCTGCGGAGACGCTCTACGAAGCCCCCAAGGTAGTTGAGACGCTCGAGTCCTTGGAGGTGCCCCAGAAATTGGGGGCAAGCCGGGTAAGCTTGACATCCCCCGCAGCCTCCGCATCCTCTGCATCTTTGACTTTAGAGAAGCCTGACGATATGGATCCTCACGATTTCTCAGACTCCGATGAGACACAGGAGGATGATGACGAACTGTTAAAGCATTGGACGCTTCAGAATGCTGAGGAGAACATCCAAGCATTGCTGAACTCCATCAGGTGTGACGAACGTTTGGACGCTCTTGAAGTCTTACAGGAGTCGTGCGCCCGCAATGCAGCTGGTAGTGGGACATTAAACTCAGAGATGGACCAGCTAGAAAGAGATCTATATCGAGATTGGCAAGAAATCGACGAATGCATTAGCAAGTTCCGTGAGGACCTTGAAGAGAAAGAGAAATGCACCTACCAAGTGCTTCGATGCTACTTTAACTCCATCAAGCAACAGACAGGTGGTGACAAGCCGCAAGGGCAAGCAAAGGGCAGAGGCCAAAGCCGTTATCAAGTGGACCTTCGCTCTGGGAATGTGACTCAAGAGCATCAACCGTCCGATGTTCTAGAGGCGTTCCATTCTTTGTACAGGGACATGCAGAAACACACGGAAACGCTCGAAATGGAATCAAAGAGACAGGCGGCCTATGAACATGCAATGCGTAAGATGCAACGTGCCATCCTTTTTGATGAAGACCCAACCCGAGACAACGTGACTAGTCAGGTGCTCAAAGAGGTTCGCAGATGGGGGCTGGACGCAGCAGCTGAGTGGGAGCCGGAAGAAAACGATACGCTCAGCTCCTGGGCATGAGAATGCACCAAATTTGACTCAGCAGTAGTGTTTTCTGGTGGAAAGCATGCACACACACACACTCAAGATAAACCACCGACAATCTAACTTCACATGCCTTGACGCAATCTCGGAAAAGAAATACCAAGAGTCCAGGTAAATGCAGCGCTGTGCAACCGTGCTCAGAAGCGCCAAAAGGATCACTACTGAGCAAGTCCAACTCCCGTTCCAAAGTGTCACAAGCCAATGCGTGGAAAGCTCAGTAGCCGCCTCTACAGCAAACCGGTGCAACGGACGAAAGCTTGTGAATACGAACGGGGCCCAGGAGGTGATATCAAGTCATCACTGCCGGTACGCCAGACTGGTCAGGTCCGGTTTCACCACCACACAAAGATGCACACGCACACACACTATATAAATAACTAAAGAAAAACAAACACACACACACCCATATATATATATATACAATACACTATATATATATATATGTTGCCACTCAACAAACTCCGACTCCGACCATATCCCTTTGGCACCCGATGATGCTTTTTGCTGTGAACACTTGCTGGCTGCCCAGGCAAGACTGAATATGCCATGAAGGTTGCCAAAGTGAAAACGGAAATCGAGGTTCTGAAAAAGAAGCTTGAGCGCTACAATGCTCAAAAAGAGACGCGGCGCTTGTCACGTCGCACGTCTGTCACCAAGAGGAATGAGCGAGAGGGGTCAGAGGAATGGCGTTCCGCATGCCACGCCAATTACTCCCTCTTCAATGAGTCTGTTGAGAAGAGCTTTCAGCAAGACATAGGTCAGCTCACCAAAGCACAGAAGAAGTTGGAAGGCTTTTTGCATCGATTCGAAGACTTGAAGACTGCAGTGGACCATGCAGTCCCAGATGTCGAGGATAGCAAGCAAAAGATTTTTGAGGTCCTCAAACGTGCCCGACCGCAGCTCCGAGATATTGAGCCCCTGCCAGATGTGCCAAGCGCAGAGGAGAAGCGCGTCGCCCACTTTACTGCTATTCGCCAGGTCTATGATGTTGAGCAGGAAAGAGAACATGCGGAGAACCTGAAGAGACTTCAGAACGACCACAGGCATTGGCTTAACAGTTCTTATTCCTTTCTTTTGTGTGTCTTTTTTGTCTACAAATGCCTGCGTCACGAGGTTTATGGCTGACGTGTGGGTATTGATTTTCGACCGGCCACAAAAAAGACGGACTGTTCGTTTTTTTTTTTCTCTCCCTTTTCTCTATATAAGATTATTTTTTTGGGGAGATATGTGGGATGGCGGGCTAAGTTTTGTTGTGGGACATTTTTTTCAACAATGTCATTCATCAAGGAGAAGGAGCATCTGGAGCAGCAGACTGCTGAACAGGAGCAAAAAAAGGCCCAGCTCTTGAAGGCCATCCGCAGTGAAGAACACACCCACGACTGTTTGCACGCTGAGATAGAAGATGCCAATGCACCTGGTCCAACGTTCTGGTCAAGTTTTGTTAAGGCGTCATTTAGTATGGTACGTGGTGTTCCCGATGCTGTTTTATGCTTTTGGTGCTTCTGTGGAAATTGGTGCAGCAGGGGCCGCCAGGGAGCTGCGTTTAAAGCTGAGACGCTTTTGTTCTACCAATCATCGCGGGATGACTTGGACTTTCCAGACACCTCCCAGGTATAAAAGGAAGTGTAGGCTTAAAGAGCCAGCATTTGCGCTTCCCAAGGCGGCGTAGGCTTAGGCACTGATCGAAACCAAAATCGACAGAGAGAGAGAGAGAGAGGATAGAGAGAGAGGAGAGAGAGAGATATATATATATATAGATAGAGAGGATAGATAGGTAGGTAGGTAGGTAGGTAGGTAGGTAGGTTTAGGTAGGTAGGTAGGTAGGTAGGTAAAGACAAGATAAGATAAGATAGGATAGGATACGATAGGATAGGGTAGGGTAGGGTAGGGTAGGATAGGTAGATAGATAGATAGATAGATCCATTGATCGATCGATAGATCTGAATCACCTTCCCAGGTAGTAATGCAAGGCTTGGATGACAACGTCAACTTGGTACTTGCTAGGGAATGCATGGAAAAAGTGGAGGAGCTCAAGAAGATAAATGTGGAGAAGGAGCGAGAACTACTGGCAGAAGTTGCTCATGCAGATGCGGCCGAATCATTGGAATGGAAAGCTTCGATGGTCCTCGATCAGCTCAAAGCGGTTGCTCACGAAGTGCTTCTAGCTCGCCATGCTGAGCTGCTGTCCTCTGAGTCTGAAGATAGCGAGGTGGAGGTTCGGCGTGAGCTTAGCCACATTGTGGAGAGATTGAATTTTGACCACGCCCAGGCCACAGATGGACCCAAACCTTTGGACTTGAGTAGCGGGAGTTCACAGCAAAGCCAACAAAGGCTTTCGATCTCCCCAGGAAATTCCCCTCGAAGTGCTGGCCGCAGAGCTTCCATGACTGTTCCGAGCAGCAGTTCTTTCAGAGATGAGAAAGCGCAGGAGGAAGTGAACCGATCACGCCGCAAGACCATGACAAAGGGTGCCGCTGTACTGGCAGGCATCATGGCGATAGGCGGGATGTCTAGCTCGGCTCAGGCTGATTCGAAAGGCGGTGCACGCAGATCTTCTATGATTTCTCCCAGTGCTTCCATTCGAGATGCTCCGGTTACAGAAGGCTCTTTCAGGGATGTGCCAGGCGCCAAAGACCCCTCCAGGGATGCAGAGAACCAAGAGAAAGTGACAAGAGCACGACGGAAAACCATGACAAGGGGGGCTCAGGTATTGGCAAGCATCATGGCAAAAGTTGGAGATACAGCTGATGGTGACCCAGATGCTTACCTAGATGCCCGCAGGTCTTCCTTGGCACTGCCAGGCAGCAGCAGCAGCTTTGCGGGTGTAAAACAAGATCTGGTGACCAGAGCA